TTGAATAAAAAAATTACACAAAAAAAACTGAGGAATTTCAAAATCACATAAAGCCATATTATAACATCGACTGAGATAAAAAATAAAATAAAATATTAAAATCACGATGTATCTCGCTGCATTGCCCGAGTACGCTTCTAGTATATATATATATATATATATACACACACACACACACATTAGACGAGTACTCGTACAATGCAGTGAAACACATCTCGATTTTAATATTCTATTTTATTATTTGACTATGTCGATATTATAATACGATTTTATGTGTTTTTAAGCAATCAATAATGATTTAATTTTTGAATAAAATAGTAGAAGGATACTCGTACAATGCATCGAGACACATTTCGATTTGAATATTTTGTTTTATTTTTTGTCTTTGTTGATATAACACGGTTTATGTAGTTTTGAGAAAGATAATGTTTTTTACTTTTAAATAAAAATAAATTTGAAGACATCATAATTTTTTTTAAAATATATCGATATTAATATCAAATTAACTATTTAAAAGTTTTGTTTTTATATAATTTATTTAATTCATTTTTTATTATATTTTAATTTAGGTCAAATAGTGGAGTAATTTATTTTTGACTTGACAATAAATTTTTTATAAAAATAATGATTCTGTTAGAACTCGATAATTATCTTAATTATATTTTAGATTTTTTATATTTTAAAATGAGATATTTATCCTCTATTTGATTATGTTTATCCGCAGTTAGTTACACGAATTCAAACATGGAGCTTTAATAAGTTGTACTTATACATAATTTACTTGTAATCTTGAATTTTAAGTAATATGCATCGAGATACAGTATTTCATGCATAAAAAATGGTTTTTAAGAGTTTTTGTATTTTTGGTTTAATATTATAAATTTTATAAAGATAATAATTAAGTATTCTGTTAGACTCAATGATTATCCTAATTATATTTTAGATTTTTTATATTTAAAATGAGACGTTTATCTTATATTTGATTATGTTTATCTGCATTTAGTTACACGAATTCAGATATGGAGCTTTAATAAGTCGTACTTACGAACAATCTACTTGCAATMTTGAGTTTTAACTTTTAAGTAACATATGTTAATAAACAATAATTTACGTATAAAAAGTAGTTTTTAAGAGTTTTTGTCAAATGTTTTATAATATAGTATAGATTATGTGTTTTTAAGAAAACAATAATGATTTTATTTTTAAATAAAATATAAATTTGAAGATATCATAAAAATTTGAAAAAAATATCAATGTTAATATCAAATCAACTATTTAAAAATTCTTATTTTTATGTAATTTCTTTAATTTATTTTTTATTATTATAACTTAATTTAAGTTTAATAATGAAATAATTTATTTTTGGTTTAATAATATAAATTTTATAAAGATAATAATTATTTATTTTGTTGGAAAACGATAATTATTCTAACTATATTTTATATTTTTTATATTTTAAAATGAGATGTTCATTCCCTATTTGA